ACAAATATGCCATCTGTCAACACTGCACGAGGAAGAAACAGAAAATCTGAAAAAAGGAGTAATACCTATCCTTCTTAAATATTCCAAGAACTAGAAGAGGAGCAAATACTATCAAACTCATTCTACAAAACCAGCATTACTCTAATGCCAAAACTAGACAAAGACACTACAAAAAAAGAAAACTATAGACCAATATCCTTGATGAACATAGATTCAAAAACCCTCAACAAAATATTAGCAAACCAAATTCAAAACTATATCAAAAGGATCATCCATCATGAATGACCAAGTGGGGTTTATTCCAGGGATACAAGGATGGTACAATATTCATGAATCAACCATTGTGATACACCACAATAACAAAAGGAGGGATAAACACCACATCTTAATAGATACCAAAAAAGCATTTGACAAAATTCAACATCCATTCATAATAAAAACTCAACAAAATGGGTATAGAGGGAACATTATCTCAACATAATAAAGACCATGCTCACATCATACTCAATGGTGAAAAGCTGAATGCTTTTCCTCTGAGATCAAGAAAAAGACAATGATGTCCACTCTCACCACTTTTACTCAACACAGTATCACATGTCCTAGCCACTGCACTCAGACAAGAGACAAAAGGCATCCAAATTAGTAAGGAAAAAAGTAAAACTGTCACTATTTGCAGATGACAGGAATTTTATGACATTATACACAGAAAATCCTAAAGACTCCACCAAAAAAACTATTAGAACTAACAGCTGGATTCAGCAAAATAGCAGGATACAAAATTAATACACAGAAATCTGCTGCATTCCTATACACTAACAATGAACACGCAGAAAATCAGGAAAACAATTCCATTTACAATTGCATCCAAAAGAATAAAGTACCTATGAATAAACCTAACCAAGGACGTGAAAGACTTGTACTCTGAAATCTATAAGCACTGATGAAAGAAATGAACAAAGAGACAAATAAAATAAAATCTATCCCATGCTTATGGTTAGGAAGAATTAATATTGTCAAAATGGCCATCCCACCCAAAGGAATTTACAGATTCAATGCAATCCCTAACAAAATACCAACAACATTTTTCAATGAACTAGAGCAAATAATGCTAAAATTCATATGGAACCAGAAAAGACCCCAAATAGCCAAAGCAATCCTGAGAAAGAAGAACAAAGCTGGGGGATTATGCTCCCAGACTTCAAGCTATACTACAAAGCTACCATGATTAAACAGTAAT